GCAACAAATTCTCTTAGAAGGGCTAAGTCGTCACCTGCTGTAAATCTAAGCCTCTTTATAGGTTCTTTAAATATTGGAAGAGGTGGAATCCATATTTTGGGCCATATTTATTTAATTAAAACTAATCCCTGCTACGTAAATATCAAATTACCTAATAAAACTAAAGTAATAATTCAAAACAATTCAAACAAAACCTAAAATAAAAGATCTCGCCGGCCGGCCCCGGTTGTCAAATACCCGCACATGTCCATTTAAGCAATTTTAAACATTATTTAGAAATAGCGCTTGGTGTAATGATCCGCAAATTACGTCAGGCGGTAACGTTATTAGCGGGTGTTGCGTTAAAAATTGACTCGCGCATATCGTGACCATGATAAGGTACGCGTAAATACTGCATGACGCTATTCGGTTTTCCGATATCTCTCTAATAACTGTGCCGGTCAGGCGCTGTGCACAATTTTAGAGGCCATAAGTGGGCGTGCTATGTGCGCAAACTAGTAACCTTAACTAGTGCCCGATTCCGAAAATTGGAACCACGAAAAACAATAAAGAAAAAACAAAGTTATAATAATCTGTGTATAATTTCATATTCAATATATTTAGAAACAAAATTGATGGGAAATGGAAAAATCTAGAAAGATGTGGAAATATACAAGGTGGTCCGGACTGTAGCCGGAAACTTCGGCAGCATATTCTATAGATAAAAATAAGTAAAAAAGTTCGTCCAATGTATGCCCGAAATTGCTTAGTTTCGGAGATACTTACAGGGGGTAGAAGCTTCATTTTTATTTCGATTTTTTCCAAATAATTTCTGGAGTAACGTCAATTTAGGATGAAAATTAGTATCTGGGGTTTTTTGACATGAGAAATTTGATTTTTATGTCAATATGACTCCTATTTGTAGGGGGCACCACCTACTTGTGTTTTAACTAGTTTGAAAAGTAATAACTTTTCGTCCGTACCTGTATAAAACTAATGAGTGAAAAAATATAATTATATTTCCGTGATTTTTTACGTAAAAAATGTCTCTTGGTAAAAATCGCTACAAGCAACAGTTCTCAAAATATTTAGAATGGAAATAGTCAATATATGTCATTATTGACAAAAAATAAACCTGTTGGGTAGATAGTTATTTGACTGAAACGATAAATTTGGGAACTTTTTAAATTAATCATAAATTTTTCTTCGAAAAAATGATGATGAAACAGTTTCTGTTGAACTTTTGGCACAAAAACATTTCAAATTTATGATTTTAGTCTAATAACAGTCAATGACGACAGCTATTCATAATTTCGATTCCAAATATCTCGAGAACCATTACGTAGCGATTTTTACCAAAAAAACTTTTTTACGTAAAAAACGTCGTAAATGTATATTTTTTTACTCGGTAGTCTTATACAGGTACGGTCAAAAAGTTATTAATCTTCAGCCCAGTACTACCGTTACTTCAGAAATTATTTGGAAAAAAATCGAAATAAAAATGAAACTTCTACACTCTGTATCTCAAAAACTAAGCATTTTAGGACATATATTGATACGAACTTTTTTACTTATTTTTATCTGCAGAATATAATAATAATAATAATAATAATAATAGTTCTTTATTTAGCTAAAATGCTACTTAACAACAATTTTTTACATATATGTAATTTCACTTAACTATCTAAATTATCAGCGTAATACTTAGAAACTAGTTTCTTAAATGTATAAATACTATTTGCCAATTTAAAATCGTCTGGTAGTTTATTATACAATTTCAATCCATCAAAGAACAACTGTTTTTGAAGTTGCGATGTAGATACTTTAGTTATATTATATTTATTTTTATCTCTTATATTATAATATATCAAAATACTTAGGCAACAAGCCATGCTCGATCTTGTAGATTAAAATCAAATTGGAAATTTGAACACATTGCCACACCGAGTTGCACTGCAAAATGTTTAACATTGTTTTTAGAGGTGTGTATTTATTACACCCTATAATGATTCTCATACACTTGTTCTGCAGTAATTGTAACCTATGAAGATCTCCCCTTGTACATGCTAATAGTAATGAGTTACAATATTGAAAATGTGGATAGATTATTGTATTGTAAACAGTTTTTCTAGTCCACAGAGTAAATTCATTAGACACTCTTTTAAACATTCCAATTTTTTTACCTAACTTTTTACACATATAGTCAATGTACAAGAAGAATCTCAATTGCGGGTCCAAAACAACACCCAGATACTTAATTTCCGTTACAAGGTTTATTTTTACTTGATTAATGTGCAATAGAAAATTATTATCTGTAAACTTCTTACAATTTATATGCTGCCGAAGTTTCTGAAATATAGTTCGGACCACCCTATAGAGAAAAACTTGAATCGAAATATAAACAAAAGTATAGAGAATAAATGTGACAACTGTCAAAGCGTTGTAAAAAAATAAAACCGTTAAAAATATTTTGCCTGTGACTTTAAATTTGACCTCTATGTTTTATTCTAAACATTTTTTTAGTAACTGCTTTGTCAAGTTTAGAAAGTTAAACTAGGGTTGCCAACCGTCCTCTATTCCAGAGGACAGTCCTCTTTTTGATCTCAATGTCCTCTTTTCTCTCACGTATTGAAAAAGTCCTCTCAAAATCGAAAAAGTATTCGTCTATCGCCACAATGCTTTAAAAAATTGTTAATCTGTGTCTTTCGCTACTCCCACTCGTTTGCATAGAAAAAAAAATATGAAGAAATATTTATGTACAGGGTGTCCCACTAAGAATAGCTCTCGGCTGTATCTCGGAAAGTATTAGTCGTAGAGCTTGCGGAAAAAAATATTTATAATTAAAAAGAACATGAGAAATTGCTGGAAATTATTTTCAAGTTTGTAGAGCAGCCGCTAGAGGGCGCAACTGCTATTAAAAATAAGAAAAAGGAGTTTTTACACAATTTTGCCTAGATAACGGATACTATAAATAATAGATTCATAATCTTCAGTAAATTTTGCATATTTTTTGTTAGAACCATTTTTCCCTATCTGCCAAAATAAAGTAGTGGGGGAAGGTTAGGTCTGTTTTTATTTAAACATTAATAACTCTGGATTGGATCAACGGAATCTAACAAACGGGGGCTCGTTTAAAAGAGCGTTTCTTACTCTATATTATAGCGTATAAACAATAATAATAAGCTGTTGAATGTAGACGCTAGGGGGCGCTGTCTTACAATTTAGCAAATATTGCGCGTTTTTTCAAAAAAATTAAATGCGATAGTATATAATATATAATTTTAGCTGATAGTAAAGAGTAATAAAAGTTTAAAAAGTCAGCGAAACCCGCATCTTGGTATCTTCTTTCAAACCGAAGATATTAGCAAAATTATAATAAATACGAAAAAACAATCCCTTAATTACCTTATTTTTTTAACACGGTTACAGTAGCCCTCTTGATTATGACTATTCTAATAAAAAAATAAGATAGAAATGATTAGTTTGTTTTAAAATCGACAATATACCAGAATACGATAATACCAGATGTATTAATATCTAATAATTAAGATATCAATGACAGTTAATAAGAAACGACGCCTCAGTGAAGTAATGGTAGGCTTTGGAAAAAGATGCTTTTGACGTAATAGTATAAACGTCAAAGAGTTATTAAATCAACATTTTGATAAATCTTAGCAGCGTTTTTTCTCTTTTGAAGAAAGGCATTTTTAGAAAAGCAATCAAAAGAAAAAAACGCTGCTGAGACTATCAAATTGATGATATAATAATATTTTGAGTTTAAACTATCTCTTTAAACGCAACTTTTTTCCAAAGCCTACCATGAATTCACCGAGGCGTCGTTTCTTAGTCACTCTAATTGATATCTTAATTATTAGATATTAAGACACCTAGTATTATCGTATGCTGGTACATTGTCGATTTTTTGAATGAAATAAACTTTTCTATCTTATTTTTTATTAGAATGGTCATAATCAAAAGAGCTAGGGATACCGTGTTAGAAAGATAAGGTAGTTAAGGGCTTATTTTTTCGTATTTATTATAATTTTGCTAATAACTTTGGTTTGAAAAAAGATATCAAGATGCGGTTTTCGCTGAATTTTTAAACTTTTATTACTCTTTAGTATCAGCTAGAATTACATATACTATTGCATTTAACTTTTTCGAAAAAACGCGTAATGTTAGTTAAATTGTAAGACAGCGCCTCCTAGCGTCTACACTCAAAATCGTATTTTTATTGTTTATATGGTATAATATAGAGTAAGAAACGCTCTTTTAAACGAGCCCCCACTTATTGGATTCCGATCAACCAGTTCGGAGTTATTAACATTTAAATATAAACAGATCTAATCTTCCCCCACCACTTTTTTTGGCAGATAGGGGAAAATGGTTCTAACAAGAAATATGCAAAATTTACTGAAGATTATGAATCTATTATTTATAATATCCGTTATCTAAGCAAAATTGTGTAAAAACTCATTTTTCTTATTTTTAATAGCAGTTGCACCCTCTAGCGGCCGCTCTACAAACTTGAAAATAATTTCCAGCAATTTCTCATGCTCTTTTTAGTAATAAATATTTTTTTCCGCTAGCTCTATGACTAATACTTTCCGAGATACAGCCGAGGGCTATTCTTAGTGGGACACCCGGTACAAGAAATCTTAGTGGAAGCGATAAATATGTTACTTACTGTTAGCTTAAAAGCGTTTTGAAACAAGTTTTGTTGAAAATGGTTTGTTTTATTTTAGCTACTTTTACTTTTTTTAGTATAAATATTTTTAAGAAAGTAAGAAAGACCATCAATGGCATACCATTGACATAACTAATTTCTAGACATTTGGGCGAAGTTTCAGAAAATCTTTCGCCTGTGCCTCTTTTTTACCCTCTTGTCCTCTATTTTTTGTTTTGAAAGTTAGCAACCCTAAGTTAGACCACTTTACTATTGATCGAATTTCGTATCTTTTAAACTTCGCATATCTTTGATGCCAACTTTTATTGATGTCTGTATGTTTTTACGTTTTCAGTTTTCAAGATCCAATCAACCTATACCTAATCATGGAGTTCCTGCCGGGCGGCGACATGATGACGCTGCTCATGAAAAAAGACACGCTCTCGGAAGAGTGCACGCAGTTCTACATCGCGGAAACGGCGCTGGCCATCGACTCCATCCACAAGTTGGGCTTCATCCATCGAGACATCAAGCCCGACAACCTCCTACTGGACGCCAAAGGCCACCTCAAACTGTCCGACTTCGGACTGTGCACCGGGCTGAAGAAATCGCACCGGACGGACTTTTACAGGGATCTTAGTCAAGCCAAACCTTCCGATTTTAGTGAGTATATTGCTTATATGTGACTTAGTTCAGTCACTGGGGATCAAAAAAGGGGCCTGCTTGGAAAAAAGTCCGGAAGTTTTGAAACTTTGCAGGTTTATAGGTTTTGGGGCCCCTAACTTAAAATCCATAAAATGCACATTTCCAGACTTGCCAAGATGGCGCCCAAAATCGGTATTTTGTGAATATCTCGAAAACTATGCGTTTTTCGCGAAAATTTGAGGAGAGCAAAATTAAAGAGAATAAAATTTCCTATAAAAAAGTTAACCGTTTAGGCATAAAATCCCTGGAAATTTTACAATTTTGCGTAAAATATGATATATTATGTATAGTCGATTTTCCGAAATCAAATGTCGATTAGGGTTCACTAAAACTAGTTTTAGTTTAGTTTCTTCAATTTTATCATAAAACAGTGGCGTATCATTAATTCGCTCATTAATTTATGAATAATTAATTGTCGTGCTGGACAGCATTCATTGCGAACTTACCACCAGGTTAAGCATTGGTCTGGTTGTACCAAAGATGCTGAAGAATGGGGTTGGAAGAAAACAAAAACAGACATTACTCCATTCACAACGTCGAAAGATCCAGCTCCAAAATCCCTGTTGGCATTTTTATCCTGTAAATGCAAAACCAACAACTATGGTAAAGCCTGCGGATGCAGAAAAGCAGGATTAAAATGTTCAATGATTTGTGCATACTGCAATGGAAAATCCTGTGACAACTTGAGTGTCACTCGACGAATCCGATGAAGAGGGGTTGGACTTGCCTGTAGATATCCCTCTGGCGGCTGAAGGTGAAGAGTTGGACGTATTGAGAGACCACCCTGATGAGCCCAGCACAGCAGACACGATCGACTTTGATATCAATGAGCCCGATCCGTCGGGCTTGTGCAGATAAGTTAAAGTTTTAAATTTTGTCGAATGGAGTAGGCTTCCGGGGAGACCACGTTAAAATAAACGCGCCATATACTTTACCTCTTGGGTGGTGTGGAAACAAGTACACATTTTCAATAATCAAAATTAATTATTCATAAATTAATGAGCGAATTAATGATACGCCACTGTTTTATGACAAAATTGAAGAAACTAAACTAAAACTAGTTTTAGTGAACTCTAATCGACATTTGATTTCGGAAAATCGACTATACATAATATATCATACTAGTTGAAGCCTGGCGCATCCGCCACGACATCAGACAAAAAAAAATACTTTTTATTTATTTTTTTTTTAATTAAATGAAAAACAAAAAATCCGGCGACGACAGTTTTTAGAGGTGCAAATTAGCTATCTTTTAGTAAAAAAAGCAACTTTCTAGAGCAAGTCGTTACTTCAGTAGAAACGACACAGATAAACATTAGCATTTTATATATTGTAGATTTTATGCGAAATTGTAAAATTTCCAGGGATTTTGTGTCTAAACGGTTGACTTTAGCGAAAATTTTCATTAAACCTTTTTTATAGGAAATTTTATTCTCTTTAATTTTGCTTTCTTCAGATTTTTGCGAAAAACGCATAGTTTTCGAGATATTCACAAAATACCGATTTTGGGCGCCATCTTGGCAAGATGGCGGTGCCGGCGGCAAGACTGAAAATGTGCATTTTATGGATTTTAGTTAGGGACCCCAAAACCTATAAACCAAAACTTCCGGACTTTTTTCCAAGCAAAAATCCCCAATGACTGAACTAACTATATTGTTAGAAAAAAATGAATGTGTTATACAGGGTGGTCCGAACTGTATTCCGGAAACTTCGGCAGCATATTTTGCAGATAAAAATTTTCGTAGATACAAGCTGTAGAAGTTTAATTTTTATTTGGATTTTTTTCAAATAATTTCTAAAGTAACGTCAATATTTGGATGAAAATTGGTGTCTGGGAGTTTTTTTGGCATGGGAAATTTGATTTTGATGTCAATATTACTCCTACTTGTAGAGGGCGCCACCTGCTCATTTTTTAACTAGTTTGAAGAGTAATAACTTTTCGTTCGTACCTGAATAACGATTGAGTAAAAAAAAATATACATTTATGACGTTTTTTACCTAAAAAAGGTCTCTTGGTAAAAATCGCTACGAGTCATGGTAATCGAGATATTTGAAATCGAAATTATACCTGTCATCACTGACATAAATTAAACATGTTGGCTAAATAGTTACTAGACTGAAATCATAAATTTGAATTGTTTTTGTCCCTAAAGTTCAATAGAAACTGTTTTATCATCATTTTTTTGCAGAAAAATGTATGATTAATTTAAAAAAAATAAAAATATCCCAAATTTATTATTTCATTCAAATATCTATCTACTCAACGTGTTTATTTTATGTTAATAATGACATGTATTGACGATTTCCATTCTAAATATCTTGAGAACGGTTGCTCGTAGCGATTTTTAACAAGAGACATTTTTTACGTAAAAAGTTACTGAAAGGTATATTTTTGCCTCTGTAGTTTGTAAGTTTCTAGTTTCTAATCATCTGCTGATGATGCTAACATGGTTAGCGAAACGCGCGTCCAGTGTAAAAGTAAAAGTGTTTTGGTGTATTGTGGTGATTAAGTGTTTTATTTTGCTGTGTAACACCAACGGTTCCAACCCTCAACTGTAATCTGTAGTTTTATACAGGTACGGACGACAAGTTATTACTCTTCAAAACAGTTAAAACACATGTAGGTGGCGCCCCCTACAAATAGGAGTCATATTGACATCAAAATCAAATTTTTCATGTCAAAAAACTCCCGGACACAAAAAATCGAAATAAAAATGAAACTTCTACACCTTGTAACTCCGAAACTAAGCATTTTAGGATATACATGAATACGTACTATTTGAACCAGTTGCATGATAAACCCTGTATACTAAAATAAAAAATAAATCAAAGTATCTTAATAGAAGACGATCTTATTAATTTATATTTTCGGATTTCCACTGAGGTCTGCTTAGAAACCCAAATATAATTAAGTTTAAAGCACTTAAGGAAAGATTTCGGTAAAAGGTTGTCTGGGAGCGACTTTCAGGGAGATGCTTTTAAGGAAGTTTTTATTACACTAATTCCAAGACCCTTTAGAATAAGATTATAAGTTTGTATTATTAAATAAATTGAAAATATATCGTTTTAAGGGTGTTTTCAAAAAGTTTAATGTCATTTTTAAAACTGATACCTAGATGGTATATTATTTTACAGTTTTATTCTAGTACTCGCAATGATGTCACTGCTAATTTAAGTTCTGGCACAATATTCTTATAGTTTTACCACCTCTAAACAAAACCAGTTGCAGAATAAATTATAAACAATATGAAATATGTAAGCTCAAAAAAGTTCAACAAACCCGCAAAATTTCAAATGTGTCAATTGAAATGTCAAACGGAACTCTAATGCCTGAATACATGGATAGCATTATAATGCTTAATGCAGGAGTATACTCCTTCCATAATCGTTAAAATTAAAATCAATTTGGAGATACTTACATAAACTAAAAATTCTTTTCGTCCGTTAACTCTCGAAAGAGTAAGGTGACATCATCTCAAAGGTGACATCATCGTCTCAATCGCGCTGATCGTTGTTCTTCATCCCTCTCTATCTTGAGCAGCTGGAGAGCTTTTTGCAGACCGTGACCAATAATTTATTTAGTTTAATCTCTGGTTTGGTCCGCCCAGAGCGTCGGAGACCCTCCTCTTGGTCGTTTGCCATTAATCTTCCATTCGATGATGATTTTTTCCAGTCCATCTGTTCTTCTTGAAATGTGCCGAAAGTACCTAAGGTATTTCTTTGAATGTGGTAGACAATGATTCTTTTTCTTCTTCCTTCTTCATAATAGGCGAATCGCCTGTTTGGTTTCGTCGTTTCTACCGGTTAGACTGACAAGTTGTCGCTCCATCGTTTTCGTGGACGCCCTAAGCTTCTGCGACCTAGTGGTGATTTGTCGCGTGCAACTCTCACTATCCTTTTGTTGTCCATTCTGCTGATATGCTCGTTCTATTCTTCCTTTCTGCTGAGTGTGAATCCACTGATTTACATTTTCCATCTTACATGCTCTTCTTATGTTTTCATTTCTCTCCTTGTCCAGAAGCGTCTTTCCAGCCATTCTGCGTAGTACTCTCATTTCGGTTGTCTCTAGTAGTTGTTTAGTTTAACGCTGTATCAGGTCGAGTTTCTGCAGTGTATGCCATTATTGGTCGTACCGTTGCCTTGTAAATTCTCGCTTTGAAAATGATTCAGTATTGAAAATAAAAGAATATCGGACTTCCGTGATCTATTTATTTCGATTGACACAATGTCATCAGAGGGATCACTGACCGTTATCAAGTGTAAACTAAACTAATTCCTAAAACTACTGAGCTTTTATACTGCGGTGGGCATTCATCTGTGAAAAAGTTGGGTGCAGTTAACCGTGAGGTTGTCCACTTAGTTAGAATGCCTGCATTGCAACGTTTTATCAGTGGTTAGGTATTGCGGTACTAGGGTTGCTGAAAATGTTATTATTGCTTGCTATAAAAACTGCTTTTTTAAATTTACGTTTTTTCTAATAAGGTTCCCTGTGGACAATCCGAGCTTCCGACCTCTTTATAATGTGCTGTTTTGACCAAACATGGTCCGCAATACCTGACTTTATTGTTTCACCTTTTTGAACATGTTTTTTGTGCTCACTAAGTCGTACATTTAGAGGACGTTTAGTCTCTCCAATTTACGGCTCACCTCATTCACAAGGTACCTGGTACATGCACTCTTTCTCTTGTTTTAATGGTTCCGGATGCTTCTTAGAGTCGAGAGTCGATCCAGATTTGAAGACAGTTTTAATGTTATACTTTTGGTTATTCGCTTGATCTGTTTTTATGTTCCTTTTACATATGGAATAGTCAAGAGAGAGAGCATCCTCCTCAGGTCGATGAACCAATGAATCAGTTTTACAAGTTGATATAATTTTGTCTACGAAGTTCTCAGGGTAACCATTTTAGTCCTTTTAAATCCATTTTAATATTATTTAATTCAACGTTAAGTGTTACTTGATCACTGCATATGGTGTTTGCTCGATGACATAAAGTTTTAATTATTCCTTTCTTAGTTGCTTCAGAATGGTTTGTGTGCGTGTGGGGGGGTTTTCTGTATAAGTCTTAATAGATCCTTCATTTCTACTAAAACGGACATTTAGAAACATTAGACAGAGGTCTTTCTCTTAGAGTAATTGATTTAAACTAAAACTATAGCACTCTAATTACATTTTTAACATTAAGGACTATACAACGTACAGATAAGTTTCCATTGGATAAAATCACATTTCTCTAACAGTTACTACGGCAAACTAATGAAATACAATCTGAATATATCCAATTCCAATATTTTATACAAACAAATTAAACCTTCTTATGCTCTATAACCTGCATAGTTTTAAATAAAACTACATATTTTATCTAACATATATTCCCTTTTTATTTATAGTTATCACCTCATCACCTATGGACTCGAAGCGACGAGCGGAGAGTTGGAAGAAGAACCGGCGCGCACTCGCTTATAGCACAGTGGGAACCCCCGACTACATAGCGCCAGAAGTTTTCTTACAGACCGGTTACGGACCGGCCTGCGACTGGTGGTCGCTGGGGGTCATTATGTACGAAATGTTAATAGGATACCCTCCTTTCTGTTCTGAAAATCCGCAGGACACATATCGCAAAGTGATGAACTGGAGGGAAACGCTAGTATTCCCCGCGGAGGTACCTATCTCCGAGGAAGCCAAGGATACGATAGTCAAGTAAGTAAATGAACAAACTTAAAAAAAATAAGACTTAAGTTTGTGACGTAATATTGAATCCGTTCTAAAATTTAGTAATACTGCCAAGGTCAGTATTCTTCTACGGCCAAGGTCAGTATTCTTCATCGCTACCGATCGCTATTTAGTTACAGAGTTCCATACCAGGTTTCGCATGCATAGGTCATGACTGGTAGTGGTAGTATACATTGGTCAAATGTTTTCTTCTTTAGATAGAGTGGCTTTCTAGATTTGAATATGATTGAGTTTCTTCCATAAGTGCTCCATGCTAAGTTCATTCTTCTGTTGATTTCTGATAGTAGAGATCCCGAGCTGTGTATTAGTTGTTCCAAATATGTATTTTCTTTTACTATTTCCAGTGTTGTGTTATTTATTAGAATGTCTTTTCTTTCCACTAGTTCGTTGTACATTAGGTACTTTTGTTTTTGCTAAATTCATATTGAGACTCACTTTAATGCTGGGATGTATTTAGTTCATTAATTTGTGCTTGTAGTTCTTCAGGACTATCGGCAATTAGGACTGAATCATCGGTGAATCTTAGATGGTGAGGATATTCTCCATCTATTTTTAATCCTTTGTTGGTCCAGACTATAATAAATTTTGCGAAAAAGTTTTACTCCAGGTTAGAAAAATGTCGCCTATGATCCTTTGACCCCTAAGGAAAATATTTACTTGTCGTCTTTGCACATCATGGTATGGTTGATCAAACAAGGAGTTCTTGTGAAAAAAAAAAGGAGTTCTTGTGGGTCCCTAGATTAGACAGATTTTCCAGATTCAACGTTTATTGATCACCTGAATCGAAGATAATAAAGAGCTTGGTTGGGATTCCAAATCATCATGTAAGAACTTTTTGGGCAACCATGAAAGTGAAGATTATGACGCTCAGGTCGAGGAATTGCTTAGCGTACCAGGTCATAGAATCTAACATGTCACTAAAAGTGTCTTTCCCTCTATCGCACATAGACTTTTTCTTTGAAAATTTAGGGGCAGCCTCGGATGAACACGAGGAAAAGTTCCATCAAGACATCGCTAAGCTGAAGAAGATATTTTCAGAGAACTCGGATGCAATAAAATAGAGAGGGCTCTCCTAAAAATGGTGGGTGGTAGAAGAAAACGGGAGCTATATTTGTATTTAAGACGTCATTTTACATCAGTATTAGCAGGAATAGTAGCAGGGCTCGAGAAGAAATTACTTTTTGTAGACCAGTTTTTAGAGAATTTAATTTTCAGAGAAATTAAATTGAGGATAACCATTATGGTTAATTGTGAACATTACGCAACTGCTGTTTTTTGTATTCTCATAGTATATTTTTTTTCAGATATTGCTGTGAAGCGGAGAGGCGACTAGGATCTCAAAAGGGTCTGGAAGACCTGAAACTGATCCCGTTCTTCCGAGGGGTGGATTGGGAACATATCCGGGAGAGGCCGGCAGCTATTCCCGTAGAAGTTCGATCGATAGATGATACGTCCAACTTTGACGACTTCCCCGATGTCAAGCTAGAAATTCGTAAGTATTATTTAGTATTTTAGCGTATTAGAGCCTTAGCTCACATCTTACGGTAATCGCAAAACATTTTCCGATGCACGTCATCAATCATATCGAAATTGACACTAAAGCCTATAAACCTAACTAAATGAAATTTTGGAAAAAATGTTTAAATGTTGTATAATTTAAGATACAGAGCAGCTCTTCATTTTACTTTATAGAGCATATCGTCAGTGAAACGTGATAACCTGCTAACTCCATTTTTTACGTTAATAAGTTTTTTATACCATTAGAAAGAGAAAAAAATACTCTATAAATAGGGAAAGCAAATACATTTTTTACCATTAAAGAAAGTTTGCTATTTTAACTCAATAAAATCTGCTAATTCCCAATGATCGGAAACAGCCACCGAAATGCTGCTATCTCCGTAATTTCCGTTACGATCACGCTAAAGCAAACACACGGATTCTTATTTGTATGTTTCTTTTGTACAGTACGTCGATCCAGGGTCGCACTAGGCCAAAGGGACCCGGGTGGCAATGTAAAGAGGGGCCCTTGTGGATTTTTTTGCGGATTTTTTCGCATTACGTTTTAGTAAATTTTCCCTATTATATACAGGGTGAGTCTTAAATAAGTGCAAATATTTTTACGGGTAGCATATTTCGACCCAAGAAACACGATTATGAGGTTTTGCGCGATTCTTTTTTTGAAAATTTGGATTTTTTTTTAATTTTTAGTTTAAAAACATATTTTGTTTATAATATGGCAACATAGGTAGTAGATTAAATTTACAAGAAAGAAAATCCAATGCTTCTCAAAATTATAGCAAAAAATTGGAAATTTTAAAAGTGAAATAACTCGGTTGTTTTGGATTTATTTGAAAAAACGGTAAAGAGAAAATATTATGTATCTTTTATCGAGATTTACCAGCCCTCAAAATATTTGCACTTATTTAAGACTCGCCCTGTATAGAAATCAGGGAACTACCCTAATCTTTGAATAAGAAGACTAAGGAAGGAGCATATCAAAAATCTTAGGTCCATCGCGATGGGCCTCAAATATGGCCGACTTAAATTCCGGTTTATCAGTGCCGTTCTAATTTTATTTAAAAAATGTAAAACTATGATGTAGGGTAGACCTGGGGTAGACTCAATAATATGTTGTTTTATTTTACGTGGTGAATAAATGTTGGAAGTTATTAAAATTGTTACAAAAATATATAATTCTAATAAAAATAGATAAGTTATAATATTTTTTAAACACAAACATCCGATACGCTATTGAAGCAGGTAAATCAAATTGACGTATCTAAATTCTTTGACAAGTAGTAAATAAAAGCAAAAATGCAAGAAAAAATATATAATTAGTTAATTTAAGTGAATTGCATAAATGATCGGTTTACTACACGTATGTATATTATATAGTCACTTACTGCGAAAAGTTGTTCCATTATTTCACTCGATTTTTGCCGAGATCTACCGCACGCTACACAACCAACTATTTTAGAGTCTTTTTCGATAAATCGCGATAGTATCACTGTTAATTTAAGTTCTGCCACAATTACTATCTAGATTTACTACCTTTATACAACTATCAGTAGTAGAATAAATAATAAATAACATAAAATAAGCTCCGTAAAGACTGACAAATCCACAAAATTTCAAATCAAATTCAAATGTGTCAAATGAATCGTCAATCAAAACTGTCAAGGATCCCCACCTTAGAGTCCTTTTTCCGCCCACCATGCATGAATACATGGATAGCATTATGCTCCTTCCTTAGTCTTCTTATTCAAAGACCCTAATGCAAGGTAAACCAATGCAATGCAAATGCCATAATGCAATGCAAAAGTAAATATTGTTAAGAATAAATAATGAACTATAAAGGGGGCCCGGGAAGGCTGGGGCTCCCCTAATAGTTATATATATGTATATATATATATATATATATATATATATATATATATATATATATATATATATATATATATATATATATATATATATATATATATATGTAAATGGGAAAAACGAAATTCTCTATATACGAGCAATTCATCGGCGTGCTAAAAATATTTTAAATGATATTACTTAGTTGTACAAGAATTTCCATAATACCTAATCAGTTTTATTTTTTTCGACGTTTTTCCACGTAAATGATACATAATTTATATAAAAATTAAAAAAATAAGGAGAAAAGTAATAAAAATTAATTAAAATCACGCACTGTTTTTCAAGCTCGGTCTACTACCGTTATATAAAAATTAGGATAAGCATGGAAGGATTCTACCATATCTTCTAAGAATTATAAGTTTAATTTTTATATTATTTTCATATTCATTAAGTCCAAAATGCTGCTACTTCAGTTCTTTAAAAATTTATTCGTTTTTGGACTTGTATGTTTCGCTTCTAGACCGACGATATTCTAAATACATATATGGTTATGAATATCATATTTTTTAAATTTAATTAATTATTTCTAAATCTGTTTGGGTAATATTCAATTCCTTTTTCAAAATTTCAAATAATAAAGGTTGCTATCTCCGAAGTATATTTTTATTTCTTATTTCTGCAAGACGAATATCTGCTATCTACCTATTGTGTCTGAAAAAAATTATGTAACACGAAATATTGAGTTTTATTATTCCCCAGCAAATAAAATTCTCATCTCTTTATCATATTAACACATGAAAATACTTCCTACATGTGTACAGGGTGGATCAAATTCGACGCTTTTAAATGGAAACACCCTTTTCTATAGGAGATAGACAAAAACTAATATCGGTGTCTGGAGCTCAATTTTTGTCAAAAACATGATGGTGAAAACCACATATCGATATCTGTTACCGTTCCGGAGTTACGGGGTGTTTTTCAAAAATATGCATTTTTAACAAATCGCTGTAACTTTTTTGCTATGGGAAATTTTGTATTTTTGTGAAAACATTTCTGAAGCACCTTTTTACGTAGAATTTAATGGTTTAAGTATAATTTTTTTAAAATTAATAATTTAAGAATTATCAACAGAAAATTTGATTTTTTATATGGGACACCCTGTATATTTTTAATTTATTGAAAATAATTTAAAATTACCTTTCCAAAAATATATCACACTTGATATTTTGCTCGATTCCTCTTCGAGATATAGAGTATATAAAAATTCGCCCGCTTTAAATAAGTAGGCTTTGAACGGCACCGGCTGTAATGCAAAAAAATTCTAGCTGTGAGCATGAATTAAAACGAAAATAATATTTGCTATGAGAGATGCAGAATTTTATAACAATTTAAAATATATTTAACCAACATCAACACATTTAAACTATATCTAATAACAATAAAAATAAATAACAAATCAAGACATGAGATTTTGCTACAGGTGTTCGACATATCGACCGTCTTCTGTTATGGACAGACAGGCATTTTTGAACATTTCTCGCGAAATTCATTAACTCAGTGGGGTGAAAGATACCCTCTCATAACTGCTAAGTATTTCTAATTCTTGTCTAGATTATACGGAAGAATAAGGAACCTTTATTCTTCCGCGAATATATCCATAGTATTAGATCCATGGGCACTAAGTCAGGCGGCCTCGACGGCCAACGGCTGGGATCTTGGTTAGCTACTCAATTATTCTTGAAATTAGCTGCAAAAATTTGCTGATAACTTCAGAGTTCAGAGGCGTTGCGTCGTATTGCTAGAAAAATATGTTTTCGAGTTCCATTAAGGGCATGTCATCAATAAGGGATCCAAAGCCTACTAGTTAAAAGTGGCGAACTTTTAAAAATTCTGTATTTCGAAGGAAATTATAACAAAATATCAAGTGTGCTATATTTTTGGAAACGTAATTTTAAATTCTTTTCAGTTAATTAAAAATATAGAGGGTGTCCCAAATAAAAAATCAATTTTTCTGTTCATAACTCTTAAATTATTAATTTTAAAAAAAAATTACTTGAACCATTAAATTCTACGTAAAAAGGTGCTTTGGAAATGTTTTCATAGAAATACAAAATTTTCTATAGCAAAAAAGTTACAGCGATTTGTTAAAAATGCTCATTTTTGAAAAGCACCCCGTAACTCCGAAACGGTAACAGATATTGATGTGCGGTTTTCACCATCATATTTTTTATGAAAATTGAGCTCCAGACACCGATATTAGTTTTCGTCTATCACCTATAGAAAAGGGTGTTCACCATATCACCATTTAAAAGCGTCGAATTTGACCCACCCTGTACATATTTTTTTGTACCGTGTTTTTGCTCTCCTGTAAAATTAGAAATAATGGAGTTAGCAGTTTATCACATTTCACCGACGATATGATTTTAACAAATATTTTATTTAGATTAAAGCTGCAAAAATTAGTTTAAGCCAAATTTTATTATCGCTATGTTGGTCACATTGCGCCGTTCAGCAACGTTGTCGTTTATTATTTCACAATTATCATAATGACAATCATTCTTTTGTATAATATCGTGTTGCTGAATCTTCTCGTTTTTTGTCTTTTTTAAAAATTGTACTTTTAAGCACAAACAGTTCTTTTAAGAACTAAATTTTCGACTTTTTGTATTGCATTGTAAACAAAATGTGACATCGAATTTGACAATGACAAAGTCACATTTTTGCTTGTATTTTACGACATAGATAAAGGAACAATTTTAGATTGGAATGCTCGGCTTGCCGCCAAAACTTATAACTGTTTTGGAGCGCATACGTTGTAGGGCGCTGCTAAGAACAACCGCAAACAAGAACAGAAATAATTTTTTCTTATCAAAGTTAGAATATGAAAAAATTATAAAATCTTTCAAAATTTAAACCGCCCTCGTTGAAAAAATACCGAAAAGTGTTTAAAGCGTCCATTTTCAAAGTAATTATTGCTATCTTGTGAGTTTAATTTAATTTAAATTTTATTTACTCAAACCCGTGATAATTGTAAAAAAGTGGCATTAAAAACTTAAAAAGCTGTGTGAACTGTGAACTGCAAAAACCATCGTGGATCTTGGCATACCGCCGGTTTCCAATGTTTCATAGGTGTTTCATACATGTCCTTCTATAAAAGAAAGTTTCTTATATGCAACCCACTGTATTTTATGTAGAAAATTAAAAGAAAATAATAAATTTGAATAAACTTTTGGCGACATAATTCCGAAAAAAGCTGAACCGCTCTGAAATTATCAAAAGCTTTGGACAGCGGCCATTGCAAGAACAGCGCCAAATAGTATTTACATTATCCTTATTCATCTGATATTATGGTATTCTGATATTTCGTCGATTTTAAAATAAACTAACTGTTTCTATCTTATTTTTTTGTTAGAATGAGCCTAATCAAGAGGGCTACTGATACGGTATTGTAAAAATTAGGTAATTAAGGGCTTATGTTTTGGTATTTATTATAATTTTGCTAATATCTTTGGTTTAAAAGAAGATATCAAGATGCGGTTTTCACTGACTTTTTAAGCTTTACTACTCTTTACTATCAGCTAAAATAACACATACTATCGTATTTATTTTTTTTCAAAAAACGCGCTATGTTTGTTAAATTGTAAGAAAGCGCCCCCTAGCGTCTACGTTCAAAACCTTATTTACTATTATTTTTTTGGTGTAATATAGAGTAAGAAACGCTCTTTTAAACGAGCCCTCGTTTGTTGGATTCTGATCATCCAGTCCGGAGTTATTAACATTTAAATAAAGATAGATCTAACCTTCCCCCACCACTTTATTTTAGCAGATAGGGGAAAATGGTTCTAACAAAAAAATCCAAAATTTACTGAAGATTATGGAGCTATTATTTATAGTACCCATTATCTAGGCAAAATTCTGTAAAAAATCTATTTTCTTATTTTCCATAGCAGTTGCGCTCCCTAGCGGCCATTTTACAAACTTGAAAATAATTTCCAGCAATTTCTCATAGCCCCTTTAGTTATAAATATTTTTTTCCGTAAGCCCTATGGCTAATACTTTCCGAGATACAGCCGAGAGCTATTCTTAGTGGGACACCCGGTCTCCCGCGTTCCGATGCACCACACGATATTTTTTTATTGTCAAAATAAATACACTAAAATTTCACTTTTCTTTTCCAGCTGCGGCACCCATGCCACAAGACGGCGAGATCAACTACAAAGACTGGGTGTTCATCAATTACACGTTCAAAAGATTCGAAGGATTGACGCAAAGGGGCACCCCCAAGAAGAACTAATTCCAACCACCAACCAGATTTCTGAGTAGTTTTTATTTGGAAAGGGTTTTCTTTCTGCACCCCGTCACGCCGACCGTCGCAATTTATTTAATTTAAATTGTGTCTGTAATACCTCGAACGTCCCTAGACGGTGGGACCAGGGGGGTGAAGTCCTAACTACATCTGTACTCGTATAGGTCTGAGCAGTTTATGCACTGTTTGCTTTTGAGCTGTGAAAAAATTCGTGAGCTCGGGTTGGATTCGAGCCTGGATTTTGACCGTTTGTTGTAAATATCGAAACATCTAGGAGGCGCAGTCGCCAGGACCAACCCGAGCAAGTTCAGTGTGTGTAAAATGTTATTTTTTGTTTTAATTGTTACAAAGTGATACTTTTTATTATTTAAGATTTTGTTTTTAACTTATAATAGACACTGTGAAGCTATTTTATAATAGTAGTAATATCTAAATTTACGGGCACCGTTTAGGTCAGTCTGCTTCTGTCAGTGAGATCATACATTCTGTTTACTTTGGCTAAAATAAAATTTTCAAAGTCTTTTTGAAAAGTGTACGACTGTAGGTATGGGAGCTCAATGTGTTTGTGATCCGATTCGAAAGTTATCTGTTAACTGTATCTATTTTACGAATTAATGAAATTATAATGATGTTCTAGATAAAGTAGTGGGTATTTAAAATGCTCTTTATAAGTATATTAACTGATATTTTAATAACCTTTTTGATATAACCAGAGCAGATTATATTATCATTAGGAATTGTTGTAATTAAATGACGTAGCTTCTTTTGTAGGTGACAATGTTTTGTTTTCTAACATATCAAAACTTTTCAAATGTTGCATGCTGATCCTAATAATGTGCAATTAATAATGAAAAAAGAAATCTTTTTAGTTTGCTCTCTACAGTTTAACCGTTGAGCATTTATGACAAATATGATGCTCCAATCTGTTAATAAATTACAATTTGTTACTTTTTTATTAGTAGCTGGTCTCGCTAACAGGACTTGTAAATATATTTTCTTTCAGAAATTGTGTAAAACTAAAAAACTATGAAATAAATTATATTATGTGCTTAACTGCTTCTTTTTTTATTCCCTACTATACCCCAATATCGTGCGATCGAAAAAAACGGCGTTCATTTGGCTTCGAAATTACTATGAATGGCATTCCCCATATAATTTTACATATAAAATGACAGCGATCTTCATTTCATAGCCAGTGCCGACGCCGAATTAATGTAAATATGAAAAAAAATTATTTTTTGCAATTTTCCATTTAAATCCAAAATAGCCAGTAATCAAAGTTCATTAATAGGCTACAACTTTTACCTCCTGGCTCTATGTACCCCTGATACAAATCTCTAGTATTTCAACCGTTTTACAAAAATTGCACGAAATATTTTGTCTTTTTTAAAAATTTTTTTAATCCGTATCCAAAATTACATCTCTCACATTTCTATCAGGAACATATAAGCATTTGCTTAAACAGTTTTTGCTATTATCTCAAAACAACGTTTGTGGGATAAGGAGGGTTTTGCAATTTGACGCCTCAAATACAGCATTGATCAACGATATTTCTGTTGACTCTAGCATTTCGACCTCGTTTCAAAAATTAAAGACCAAAGATCAGGTATACCGGGGGCATCTCTTGAGCCTCCGAAGCCCTCCCCATCGATCCGCCACTGATGGTATATCTAATGAATAAGCTCTAATCTAATACTGATGATAAATCCCAAAAAATTGTTCCAAAGCAGTACAACATCCCATTCAAAAACTCAATTTTAAAACGAATTAGAATCGGAAACGAAAAGAAAATGAATTAGAAAATAAATCCTAAACTATACACAATTTAATAATATACAATTTTATGCAGGCAATAATAGAAATGAGAACAAAAACTTATTAGTCTTAGAAGGATAGCAGTAAAAGAAGACATTTAGAAAATCTATATAGAAGAGATATAATTGCATACAAGGAAAATGAAATTAACTTTTAATCTTGTATGGTATGATTTAAAAAAAAGTAATGGAAATTATTCAAAAATATCAACTCTATAGACTATAGAGACAATAGAAATAAACTGCCTTAGAAGTCTTGACGCAGAATAACACAATACAAAATAATAAAAAATGATTCAAGTAGATAAATGACGATTTCAGAAATGACCAAACTCATAACGACCAGAATTCATAACGAAATGATCAGAATTCGTAACGAAAAGACTAATAACTTAGAAATATATAAATTAAGAGATTTCATAGAATGAAGATAATATGAGAAACAAATAAATGAAAAAGGGGAATGCGAGATACATTTAGAAAAGTTCAGAAGAATGACACAAAAATTTATACAATTATATACATTTAAGAAAATATAATCAATCAAATAGTTTATAGAATTAATGAATGGTTAGTTGCATTCCCATGAGGAAGAAAATATAGGAAACATATCAACAATAATGAAATAGAGCTGTGCATTGAAAAACTGGCAGAAAAATAAAAAAATATATAATTTTGTATAGGTCATAGAAGTGACGAAATATGTTCTAGAAGAGTCTCAGAGGAATGATACAAAAAATTTATACAAATATATATAAAAAACTTGAGAAATACAATCTCAATGGAAGAGTTTATAGAATTATTAATAAATGATGGCATTCCCATAGTGAAGAAAATTTGGGAGACAAATAAATAGTGAAAGAGATAAGATGATTTGAAAAATGGCATAAAAATGGGAGATAAATTGGGGAAAATCTTATGAAAATAGGCAAATAGGTATATAAGACAGTTATTGGAAGAGTATAATATATAGAATTGTTAAATATTCAAGTAATAAAGAAAATATGACATACAAAAATAGACTGAGGCAAGCAAGATGAAACAAAAAGTGTTAGATGATATTAAAAAAATAAAGAAGTATGTTTAAATTTTGTATTTCAATAATAAAAAAATTGGCACCGGGAGGCACGTAGTATAGCCGCCCATACTAAAATATGTTAATAAAAAGTTTGTAGGTAGTAGTTCTTTTAGTTTCAAAGTAAAGGAAGAAAATTTTTTCCAATTTTGGTTCGCGGTTATTTCCCCTATCCAACACCTGGGGTAGCGTCCGATGGGAGTTTGGAGTTCTCCACACGGATTTTTTCTCAAAAACGGACTACGGAAACACGGAATATCTCAAAAGACTTTGACTGATTTTGACGTCATTACAAATTTTGTTGCAAATATTATTGCTAATCTTAAATTGAAAATCGCGTTTCGCTAGCTACTGCAATTTTGGAGATTTTTTTTATTTTTTTTTACCATTTTTAAACTCTACCAAAAAAAAAGTTCAAAAAATAAGGAATACCTCCAAATATGCGAAGCATTATTCTAAGTATCTATATTTTTAATATACAATAGAGACCTCAAGGAACGTATTTATATTCCCATACACTCGATTTTGAATAAGAAAATTATGTAAATATGAAAAATATATCAGCTTTAATAATGATGTAATTGAAATAATTAAAAGAGAAAAAAACCATAGAAAACATGCAAACTAATGGGTACTTACATTTTCAGGAGATTAAACAAGGCTTAACGAACAGAATACACTCAAATAATGTAAAGAAAACTCACTGTTTCCAGCTTTTTCTATAAAAAAAATCGAAAAAATTGTGAGAGGACACACGAACACGCTAGCTGCCAACGGAAAATGTCGCACTGTCAACGTTGTCAGATTGAGTATTGAGTTAATCAGTTGTTGATTATATAAAATAATCATCTTTTAGCAAAGAGTAGATAAGACAAGAGACGACAGTGAACAAAGAAGTCGAATTTCGCGAGAGAGACGCAGATATATTAAAATTTAAAGGTCCCGTCAAGTTCCATTTTGTCTGTTGCCAAGTATATTTCTTTGAAAAATAAACAAGATTTTCTGAAAATAAATTAATAATATAAGAAGGATATAAGTAACGTATGTTAAAACGGAAATGTAAATTTTTAGTTTAGGTTGGTTTAGGTTCTTTTTTCGCAATGTACTGATAATATCAAAGAAACAGAATGACTAAAGTTGATCGATTTCAAAGATAAACACATAAAATCTGAAAATCTGACAACGGCGCATTTTATTTATTCTAACCTATGATTTTAGGACGCTAATCAGCTGTGCTAATCAAGCTTAAACATAAACAAATCTGATTAGTTGTTTTCTTGAATTTTTGCCTTTTTAAAGTGTGTTTTCAGAGTTTTTCGATATATTATTGTTTTGAGAGTTTTTAAGGTTTAATTTTAGTATCGTTTTTATTGCGTTCTAATTTGTAAATATTGTTAAATATGAATACTGAACAGGACACGAGTAGCAGGAAAAGACGAGATGGTGGCAATGTGTGTGCTTATAAAGACTGCAAAAATAGGTCTTATTCTTCGGCAAACATAATATTTCACACTTTTTCAAAGGATCCTGAAAAGTATTTTTATAGAAATATACTATATAATTATGTTATTAAACTAAATGTAATCCATAGATCGAAGACATGGTTAGAAGCTTGTAATTGCCAGGATTTATTAAATAAAAATTGAGCAACTCTATTTTTTTGTACATAAACTCCACATTGTGATATTACACTTGTTCAAGTCCATATGTAAAAAAATACACGTAAATAAAACATTTCTTACAAATCGACTTGGTCGCTTTCTCTTGTTTACCAACGATATACAAAGTATTGCTTTTGTTATCTTTATTCCTTCTAATTATAATTTATTTTATATAATATTTAGAAAACTCATTTTTTCGTTTCTATTTATCTCTTTACCCATACAGTAACTATTTATAAGCTATACAGGCAAATTTTAATAAAAGTCTATTTCAAATTTCCCGCGAAAAAATTACGAAAATTTAAAGGGACAAGCGAGACGAGGTCACTCTCCCCACCACTCAAACATGAAAGGTACCGCGCGAACTGTCGTCTCTTGTCTTATCTACTCTTTGCTTTTAGTGTACATCTGGTGTACATACATATAAAACGCTCTTAAATTTGTAATTTGGGAAAAAAAAATATATTTATAAAGCTGTAGAAACATTTCTATGAGCTAGCAACTTTGATTAAAATTTAAATAGACATATAATCTGGCAACAACAACGAGGTACGCATGCGTACTATTTATGAGCAAATACAGCAAATAGACGTCTCCAGTACAGCTTAAAACTTTAAACACACAATTCTTTACATATTTGAAAAATATTGGTGAATAAACAAATGAATAAAAAACATAATAATCGTTTGTAATAATCGCTCATTAATAGCCATCTAGACAAGGAAAGAGAGAATAGCCATAAAGGAGCATGTCGTAGATCGATTCTATCTTCATTCTACTTCTGTCTCTGTTGCGGCATTGCCATCTAGTGCCAACGAATTTTTCTGAGCTAAATATCCCAATGCCAAATGAAAATCATAAAAAAATCTCTCCAACGCGTGAAGAGATCATTTTAACAGATAAAATATAAAAATTGACAAAAAAATTATTTATTTTTGAAAAACCGGTCTGTCAAGGTGATACCTTTTACATCAGATTTAAGGAATTTTGACAAACATTGGTAACGTTGAGTGTTTTTTTATTAATCACAGACATACTCCTCCCTATTTGACAGTTGACAGCTGAATCTGGGACTTGTCTGTCGCGTAAAAATAGAAACAAGTTCAATAGAGTTGTGTATGTGTTATTTAAGTGGTAGCGAGTATACGCCCAATTGTTTATTTATAGTTGTTATTTTGCATTATATTTTGCAATGGAAGATATTTTCCAGTGGTGTAAAGAAGGAAATGCCCTACAAGTGAGAGTATGGCTTGATGAACCTGAGCATGACATGAATCAAGGGTAAAATAGAATCAGTTTAATATGTAACCAAGGACAAATGGGACCAATTACCATATTTGGCAATTTATTAAATTAAAATTTGTTTAAGAAGGGATACTCTAGTTTTATACTTAAGCAACACATCTATTAATTCATAAGCTAAAACAAATCTATGGCTAAAACTAACAAGTTATAGAATCTGTCATGCAATTTTAATCTTTACTATGCTATGTTTATTTAATCAATTTCAGAGACGACCATGGGTTCAGTCCTCTCCACTGGGCTAGTATGAAAGGTCATACAAAAATTGTCGAAATGCTATTGCTTAGAGGTGCCAGAGTTAATGCAACAAATCGAGGTGATGATACACCTCTTCATTTAGCCGCAGCCCATGGACACAGAGAGATTGTTCAACTAGTAAAGATCATTAAAACTATTCAAAATCCACATAATAATTTCTCATATTGTAGCTTCTTCGTCAAAGAGCCGATGTTAATTTTACAAATGAACATGGCAACTCACCTTTACATTATGCATGCTTTTGGGCTTATGAGGGAATTGCCGAAGATCTTGTACATCATGGCTCAAAGGTTGCAATTGCAAACAAGTATGGAGATACACCTCTTGATAAAGCTAGGGGGAACTTAGCTAAAATTCTACACGACATTGCTGTTGAAGCTGGTCAGGACCTGAAAAAAATTAAATTCAAAGATCAGAGTTGGTTAGGTAATAATTTCTGTAAAAAAATGCTGTACATAGTATTCATTTATTTTTAAATATTATAGGGTTAAAAACTCGTTCAAGGGATGCCACCCTGTCACGCCACAAAGGTATTAATTTTAAAGAGCTTGATTTAAAAGGAAAGATAGCAGAAAGTCACAGTGGTATAACTTATAAAGGACGCTGGCAAAACAATGATATTGTAGCGAAGGTTTTGAACATAAAAAACATTACAGCAAGGATTTCAAGAGATTTCAATGAAGAGTTTCCTAAACTAAGAATCTTTTCTCATCCCAACATACTGCCTGTTATTGGGTGTTGCAACACACCTCAAAACTTAATTGTCATAAGCCAATATATGCCTCTAGGTATGCTCTCTTTTTGCAGAATAATAATTATAAAATTTACATGTCAATTTACATTTTAGGTTCACTATATAATGTTCTTCATGAAGGACATGGCAACATTGTTGTTGACACATCTCTGGCTCTTAAGTTTGCCATTGATATTGCAAGAGGCATGGCTTTCTTACACAGTCTCGAGCGTACTACTCCAGAATATTTTTTGAACAGTAGGCATGTTATTGTCGAGGAAGATCTGACTGCAAGGTTAAACATGGCCGATGCCAAATTCTCCTTCCAGGAAAAAGGCAGAATATATTATCCTGCATGGATGTCGCCTGAAGCACTGCAGAAAAAGATTAATGACAGGTAAATAAATTCAGTAGGTAATTATTGGGAAAACTGGAAATCGTCCGATTTTCACCAAAATTGGTATATACACTATTTTGAGGTCGTAGATTACGAATCTGAACTTTTTTCTTGGCGGTCTCTTACCGTTTTTCAGAAAAACGGAAAATATTTCAACATTGAATTTTTCTTTATTTCGGCCCTATAAAGTAATAATTTCACTATATTTTCATTATATTAGAGTTTATCTAATAGCTACACTTGATTGGGGATAGAAAAATGTCCGAAATTTTACTGAAAAACACTTTTCTTAACAAAATAACAAAAAAAATTGAGACCAGATGGAAGTTTGACATTTGATATATCCTTCTTTCTCTCTCCTATAATGAGAGAGACAAATATATTCTAGACCTAATCCTTGTATATATATTTTTAAAGTAGATCAACCTAAGACGTTTATGGACTAAGACTACTAGATGGCAGGACCGGTTTCCCTACAGAAAAATATTTTTTGTTGCTCTGAATTTTGAAGCTACCAATAAAAACAGAGAAAATAAAAATCGATAATTTTCGGACTGTGCCAATTGGTTACTAATCGACCAAATACTTTTTGTCTATTAAATATGCTATAAAAGCTGGCAATTATACAATTCGACCATTGTAAATACCCAACAAATTCTTCAAGGCCGACAAGGCCGATGCTTCTCACTGATAAGAAATAAAAATGTTTGTTTAGATAATTTTCGAGGTATTTTTTCTTTCTGAATGCACATTTTAAAATATTTTATATTCTTTGTCCTTTTGACCTATTATCCTGGTTGCACGTATGAAAGTTCTGTTTCTTCTAGTTTTAGAAAATGTTCATATTTCTTTTTTCTTTGAAGGTGTAGTGTAAAATTAGATTAATTTATTAAGTTTAATTATAGTGTTTAGTGTAGCATGTTAGTGTAGTCTACCAAAAATAGTTTAGTAGTGTTTTTATAGTTTATTTTGTAGTTAAGTAGTAGGTGAAGGGATAATTTTGTTATTTTTTTTTTGTTTGATAAATTAGTAAGTTTGAGAATTTGTTCAGTGTAGAATACAAGAATAAGTAGTTGTGTAGTGTTTTTAAGAGATTATATTCGTTTATTTTTTAGTTGAGTAGTAGGTGAAGGGGTATTTGGGTATTTCTTCTCTTTGTTTTTCTTGTAATAATTGTAGTAGTTCTATTAAGTATTATAGATACACTATATCTTCCTTCAACTTCGTTGGAAAGTGCGTTATCATATAATCTTGGTTTACAACATTATGTTTTTTTAGTAAACCATAGTTGGCCATGACTTCATAAAAAGCGCCATTTTTTTATGCTTTTCAGCGATAGGTATAATATATTTTTTTCGAAAAATTACAAGTTATAGCCAATTCTTTTCTTTCTTGGCCAATTTCCATAACAATAATACCATGCCAATTAGTTAGCATCAAAAATGTAGAAAGTTTTATGTTTTCAAAAAAAAAATTTCGTAAAATTCGTAAAGAACTCAATTTAGAATAAAATAATCTAAGAATGAAATGATTCTTTTATAAACCTGCATGTAACTTTTTTTAAATATTAATAACAGCCAATTAGCATAAAATTATCATAAATTATAAATAATGTACCAACATATCGAAATAATAATTTCTTTGTTAATACGGTTTAGAATTCTTAAAATAACAGGCAAAAATAATCCACAATTTACAGTAAAATAAAAGTTTCGTTTAAATTTCTGAATCAGCTGATCACTATTAAAGTTCGCAGATACCCGGGCTATATTATTACTTTACTCTGAGGAAAATAACGAAAATAATCGATATTTTTGACTCCGCCCCGAAAGGTTCACGATTTGTCCTCCAGTTAGCAGCGTATTTTGTCTAGTCGGTTGACCAACTGTAAGAATATATAAACAAGGACCTAATCTAGAAATTTGAAAATTTACAACGTTGTCATATCTTCTATTTTTTCGGGTGATTAGGGATTTTAAATAAGTTACCTATTATGAGATCAACAATAATTAAATATACCTACCTATATCCACAAAGTTTCGCAGAAGAATTTTGATTGCATTGGTTTCAACTTCTATGCGGAGGGGGTTAATCTTTTGTTGTTATATTATATCAAAAAAAGATTAATGCCCTCTGCAAAGAAGTTATATAAAGACTATTTATAACCACGAAGTGGCACGAAAGAGTTTTGATTGCATTGGTTTTAACTTCTTTGCGGAGGGGGTTAAGCTTGATTTTCATGCATCCGTTTTCCGACGATATGATATTAATTTTATTGGTTGAATTTAAAGACTTCGATTAGTTAGAAAAAGTTATTCAATCGAAGGTTTTAAATTCAGCCAATAAAATTAATATTGTATCATCGTATCGTCGGACAACGGATGCATGAAAATCAAGCTTTAATCTTTTTTTAATATGATATAACAACAAAAGATTAACACCCTCCGCATGGAAGTTGTAACCAATATCAAAACTCTTTCGTGCAATTTCGTGGTTATAAATAGTCATTAGTCATCTCGTTGGTAAAATAGCAATTATGGGAAGGAGCCGTTCTTCTGGCGACCGCCTTTCGTAATCCCAGAATGAGCGAAAATAATACGCTAAATTTAGGTTTAGCATTGGCAACGTTGCTTTAAATGCTAGAAACACATAACCCAACATTTTCAGATTGTTTACAAATTTATTTTAGCAAATGTTCCTCTATTATGCTTAGAATTGGTTAAGAAAGTAACAGAAAATAGCAATAACATCATTGTTTATTGAATACCTAACAAAATATGTGCTAGAAAACCAAAATATGAGAAATTAAGAAAAATTCGATGTTGAAATAATTTTCCGTTTTTCTGAAAAACGGTAAGAGACCGCCAAGAAAAAAGTTGAGATTCGTAATCTACGACCTCAAAATAGGATGTATACCAATTTTGGTGAAAATCTGACGATTTCCAGTTTTCCCAATAATTACCATTCAGTATTTTATAAATGGCATAGTATGCTGTGTATAACCAAGTACAAGTATTTTATTATTTTATCTCTGGATATTAATATATATGGCTGACTTAAATGCAAGTTTGTCAGTGCCATTCTAATTTTATTTAAAAGGTGTAAAAATATAATGTATGGTAGACTCAATAATTTGTTGGTTTTGTTTTACATTGCCAATAAAGGATATATGAGGTCTGTTCTCAGAAGAATCCCTGATTAGTCAGCGCGTTTTTTATTGGTTGAAATGTGTAGAAACCAGACTAACAATCAGGTTTCTACGCATTTTAACCAATAAAAAACGTGCTGACTAGTCAGGGATTCTTCTGAGAACAGACCTATGGTAATCGCAAAACAATTTCTGATGCACGTGATCAACTTTGAGTGACGAGCGATGGCGACAGCGCTGCCAGATTGTGATGGATTTATGAGATGAATCTTAATTTAAGAGTGACAAATAATTTATGTCATTTTTCAAAGATTTTTACGTTTTATTTTTAATTTAATTACTAATTTACTAATTACTAATATTTTAGTAATCAATTGATTTATTTGTTTTATAGCTTATTTTACTTATTACATATTGGCAAAAACTAGTCCATTATGAAGATTATTCTAAGCGTTATTATGGGTTATTTATTTATTTATTGATGTACATCCTACAAAGCCATAAGTGGTAATAACAAGTAATAGGGTGCTATTAATGCACAAACTAATAATCACAGAATTTAATAAAAACTAATGAAGAAATAACTTTGAAAATGGTATAATGTGCTTATCAATCAAACTTGCTTTTCTGACTGCAGTCAAGGGCAACAAAGGACCTTTATTGTCAATTGTCACGGTTTTGTTCAAAATAGTTTATCAGGGAAGCTACAAGCTCTTTGCTTTGACTGTTTAAATGCTTGGCATATTTTCAACACACAACTTCAAGAAATGTAATACAAAAACTGGAAAATTTAGTTAAAGAACTGTTTGTGCTTAAAAGCACAATTTAAAAAAAAACTATGAAAATAGGCAAAAAAACGAGAATTACTCACAAAGATTCAGCAACAACACATAATACAAAATAATGACTGACATTAGGATAATTGTCAAATAATAAACGACAACCTTGCTGAAAACGGCGCAATGTGACCAACATAGCGATAATAAAATTGGGTTTAAACCAATTTTTGCAGCTTTAATCTAAATAAAATATCTGTTACAATCGTTTGCTCTATAAAGTAAAATGAAGAGCTGCTCGGTATCTTAAATTATACAACAAATTTAAACAATTTTGCGAAAATTTCATTTAGTCAGGTTAGTGTCAATGTCGATATGATTGATGACGAGCATCGGAAAATGTTTTGCGATTACAATAGTTTCAGTATGTACAGGGTGTTTCAAGAAATATGTGCCATCTCTCGTAGAGATATTCTCACTTAAAAATAAGATTTATTTTTTATATCAACAAAGATTCAATTTTGCTTTGTTTCATAGCTACAACAGGAACCCTTCTAGGAACAAACTTCTACGCTAATTGAAACCACTAATTTATTCCACTAATTTGGAGGTTCTGAATGAGGCTTAACTTATTAATTTTATTTTAAATTTTATTATGATTAAAAAAATGCGTTTATCTCATCAAGGAGATTGAAATCGACAAAATAAGAAAATACAACTTTTTATCGGTATTAAACCGCCGACACCATTTTGCTAACAAGAAAAAAAATAGTCAGTGGCGCACGTGTTTTCTTTAGAAAAATATTCCAGTGATAGCCCATATGCACATTAATAAAATAGATGTTTTAATAATTATTTAATAACATAAGTACTAGATACGCTACTGAAACATCTAGTGAAATTGACGTATTCTAATTATTCTTGACAAGTAGTAAATAAATGCAAAAATGCAAAAAAAATACCCTATGACCGAAAAAAAACGGCGTCCAGTTGGCTTGGAAATGACGATCGATAATGACAGTCCCCATATAATTTTACGTATAAAATGACAACGACCTTTTTTTTTGATCAGGTTTTTTTGTGTATCTTGTATTAATATCAGTCTGGTATTTTATCATTGAGAGAGTCATATGTAATAAAAAAGCGAATATTTAAAAGCCGTTAAAATTTTTGAAATAAAATATAAAATATATTTCCTTTTAGCAATACCATCATTTTTCGCCACATTCCAAATTTATCTTATCAGGTGTTTATTTATAATAGGGACACAAATATTTTTGAAGGGACATAATGACATAAATAAAGAAATCCAACATAAAAATTGCACATACAAAATTATTTAAACAATCGTCTAATTATTTCTTATTTCTGGTTATGGTAAAGTCACACTTTTATAATGTAGTCTGTAGCAAAGTTTAGTTTACGAATTTGGTTTTGTTTTTCTAATTTTAATTGTCTAAATCCCTGCGTAATAAATACTAGTTGAATGAATTTATATCAAATCATGCTGGGTGCTAATAAAAATATCGTTTACAGATACGATTTACGTTTTTATCGTTTCAATTAACGATTACAAATTACATTTCTCTTAAGAACAATAAAAGAACATTGCTTTTAAATAATGTCCGTAGACCATACTTTTGTTGACATCGGGACAATTAATAATTTTCCCAAGTGAATATATTCATAATGTTACCAGTATTACTCATCAAGCAATACTACTCTTTATATTAATCAATTAAGGCCATAAACAATCATATCATATTATATACTAATTCATTATAATAAAATTAAGTCATAAAAATATTTTAATTATATTCCTGCAGTTTAAGTGAAAAGTTTTGTTCCTAAATATTTACTATACATAAAATAAACGCGTGTTCTAATACGAAATATCTTCGTAACAACGGCTGTTTTAGAAACGTCTAGGTTTACTTATTTCACTGAGATTTATGAAAAAAAAATCCTTTGCCTTGGATACAGATACCGCCACGTTTTGGAAATAGCTCAAAACAAAACAAAATTGAACGAGGCAACAAAAAACGCCAAAAAAAATCGCCCCTCGCCCTCCTCACGAGTAGTTTTCATGCGCTTTTAAGAATCGAAAGTAGGTCGAGGCAAACCGAAGTGGGCCAAGACAATTGGAAATTAATCGAAATGCGTCAAAGTTGGGCGACGAAATGGGACCTTGACATGTTTCGAAGAGTTTCTCGCATAGTGTAGACGCTGTTTTAGACTATTAGTCTTTTTATTCAAAAAGATTAAATAAGAAATTTTACATAATTTTTTTAATGACAATAGTCTGGAAGATAATTTGTAGTAGTCTAGGAGTTAGCTCATGTCACGTGTGCCGTTGTATGTCTCCTAAATTTTGTTGCGGGGATTTGTTAAGCACCTCTAGGAGTAATTGACAAAATTGGTCGCATGGTCCAGAATACGGTCATTTGATCGCCATATTTAAAAATGGCTGCCAAATTCTAAAAATTTTTTTGACTATATTTCCGTAAAAAGTGCTCCGATTTTGCTTTAACAAAATCTGAAAAATCGCAGCTGGTTCATGAACTAGAAAAGAAGTTACAAATACCGGCAAAATCCGAAACTCCTCAATCTGCGGCTAAAGCAACAATCATAGACTTTATGGCTTTTGCAAGGAAGCTAAATCTTTAAAACTGAAAACATATGAAGAGTTTGTGGGAAGCATTTGAAGTACCATATGCAAAGCCTCTCTCACAAGTGAGCGCATAGATATTATTTTTGACGTTTACAAGGAAAAAAGCGTGAAAGGATTTGAGAGGGCTAAGCGATCGCGGAAACAGCCTGTGGAATATGGACCACCAAATGACAACACACCCCTTCCTGTGGATTTTGACGCTTACTGGGCCTCCTGTCAAAACAAAGAATTATTGCAGTCATACCTTGTTGATTGGGTATCCCGGAAAAAAGATTCTGTCACTGCATCTATTCCCATTTACCTGGGTGGCGTTGTTAAAGATGGTCAGCCAAGGTGTTTCAGTATAAAGAATGGCAGAATTGAAGAAGAACGTACGTTGAAATCTGATCATGAAGAAGCGGATGACAGAATGCTAACCCATATTTCTCACATGACACTGACTACAAACGTAAAGAACGTAGTTATTTGTTCTACCGATACTGATGTTTTTGTTAGTGCACTTTACCACTACTTGCAGAAGTGGAAAAGTGCAGGACTTAAAGAGCTTTATGTTGCCTTTGGAATAGGAAAAACCTTGCGGTATATTCCACTTCACTCGTTTGATGGCAGATTACCAATTAATGTTTGAACAGGTTTACCTGCTATTCATTCTTTAAGCGGTTGCGACACTACAAGCAAGGTTAGTACAAAATTAGCAGCTCTGAAAGTAGCAGAATCGTATGCTGAAAAGCTCTTGTTAGAATTTGGTAAAGAGCCATTAAATGAAGAAATGGAAAAACAAGCAGAAGAATTTTTGGTTCGTGCACTTTCATCAAACTTGAGTGCAGTGGATAAGTTGCATTTCCATCAGTCCCATCATAAAAAATTAGGAAACTTTCAAGATTTGGCCCCTACTTCAAGATCAATCCGTCTTCACATAAAACGGAGCTACTTGCAATGCTACAAATGGATTCATGCTTTGGAACCATGTGAAAAACTTAATCCGTTGAACTATGGTTACATAGAAAAAGATGGTATTTTGATTCCACAAGTAACAGACGACCGAAAGGACCCTGAAGACTTTCCTAGTCCATGTAGTTGCCAGATGTGCTTCAGAGAAACTGTATGTCCCTGTAGAAAAATTAAAAATTAAATAATGTGTTGCGACTTTTGTACATGTAAAAGTAGTGTTTTAGACCATTGCAACAACCCTCATACATAAGTTAGTAAGTTTTCTGCTTCTGCTTAAACATCTTAATTTTTTGCATTTGAAAAATCATACTTGTGCGTTTTTTGCGAATACGTCTTATGCATTTAAATATACTTTTATTATTTTGAAACGAATTTTTATTAGTGCTTAAAACGCGAGGTTCCAGATTTTTAAATTATACTTTCCTCAAAAGAACTACAGTTAAAAAATATATATTCACAAAATTTGTTTGCTGTCAAAAAATGAGTATAATAACCTTTAAAACTAAAATCCCGACCGTTTGTTAGGAAGATATTAAAATATATAAGAAATTAGTAACATGTCGGCCATTTTTAAATATGGCGACTAAACGACCACGATCTGGAGCGTGTGACCAGTTGGTTTTAAGCTCTTATACATATTTAATAAAACGCCGCACAAAAACTTAGGGACATATATAACTGCACACGAGACATGGGCTAGCGCCCGCACTACAGTATACTATTATAAAAAATCATATTTCTTTTTAGAAATTGGGAGGCATCTGACATGTGGAGCTTTGCCATACTGTTATGGGAATTAGCTACCCGCGATGTCCCATTCCCCGACCAGAGCCCTATGGAGGTGGGCATGAGGATCGCCTTAGAAGGTCTGAGAATAAGCATTAAGCCAGGCATTTCGCCTCATCTGTCCAAATTGATTAAAATATGCATGAACGAAGACCCGGGTAAAAGGCCTACATTCGATATGATTGTGCCCATCCTAGAAAAAATGACGAGATAATTTTAACGGACATTCATTATCAGGTCTCTTAAAATGATATTTACTCCTAATCAGAATACTCTTTTAAAGTGTGTACTCACCCAGGGTAATCCTATTTAAACAGTCTTCTGATATGAATGTGTTCATTAAGAAAAGAGCTTTAATTATTATTAATTATAAAACGATCGAATATTTGCGATAATTTTGGTGTACCGGCTTCACTAATATTTAACTCTTAGGTTTATTTGTAAAAAAACTTTTTTAACCTTTTCAGTATATTTTCCCCAATTTGCCTCTTCAAAATGTCTTAAAATATTTTAAAACAACTTTTTACTTATAAAAATATATTTTTACAGTCGGTATTGCAGACGGGAATACTTTCAAACATGGGCGTACGCTATTTTATTTTTATTTATATTAAATTTAGATTAATTTTTCTTTAATAATTGCTAACAATATACTGTTTGAAACTGAAAGGGTTAAATATATAACTATATAACATACCATGGGCATAATTATATTACACTATAATCTGGAGCCTGACAAAAATAATTTAAAAAAGTGACATATCGTAAATATATTTTTTGGCATATCATTTTATAAAGACGTTCGAGTGCCTTAAAAGATGCCTTACAGTGTCGACGAAATAAATTATTAATAATTGAATAATATTATTGACTTTTTACTCTTCTGTTTTTTTAACATAGTGCTTGATTGTTTATGTTACTTTTAACTTTTGTATTTATTTATTGTAAGTAAAATGTGATCTGTGTAAAAAAAGATAACTTTATTAATTAATAAATATAGCTGTAGTAAAAATAATGTTATTTGATTTAAAATTTATTTATAGGTATCAAATATGTGGTGTTTTTCTATTTGGATAATTGCTTTAATGTGGTTAATCCATCATTTGATTTGTGAAGTCATATTTCGGAAGCTGACTTAAGACTTTTAAGTTTAAGTCATTTTCAAAATGACTTGTGACTTTGATGTCTTTATTTCGAAATAAAAAAAGATTTAAGTTATTAGAACAAGACTTAAGCTTTTTAAAAGATTTGAGTCTTTTAAAAGATTTAAGTCTTTTTGGAAAAGATTTAAGTCTTTAAAAAAGATTTAAATCTTCTTTTAACGAATTAACTCTTATACAAAAGACTTAAATCTTTTAGAATATTTAAGTTTTTTATGAGATTTAAGTCTTTTTAGAAAAGATTTAAGTCAGTAAAAAATATTTAAATATTTTTTAATGACTTAAGTCATTTTACAAAAGACTTAAATCTTTTAAAAGATTTAAGTCTTTACAATAATGACTTAACTTGAAAGAAAATGACTTAAGTCAAATACTTAAAACTTAAGACATTTGAACTTTATATTGAAATTGGCTGACTTAAATCATTTTGATTTTAGAATTGACTTAAGATTTAAGTCTTTTTAAAACTGACTTGTTGCAGCCTTGGTGACAGTCATTATTTTTCTGTCAGTTGATGTCAAGTTGTCAAGTGTCTTCTTTAGTTGAAAGGACTTTAGTGTACCGGGTGTCCCACTAAGAATAGCTCTCGGCTGTATCTCGGAAAGTATTAGCCGTAGGGTTTACGGAAAAAAATATTTATAACTAAAGGGGCTATGAGAAATTGCTTGAAATTATTTTCAAGTTTGTAGAACGACCGCTAGGGGGCGCAAATGCAACAAAAAATAAGAAAATGGAGTTTTTACACAATTTTGCCTAGATAAGGTGTACTATAAGTAATAGCTTCATAATCTTCAGTAAATTTTGAATATTTTTTGTTAAAGCCATTTTCCCCTATCTACCAAAATAAAGTGGTGGGGGAAGGTTATCTGTTTTTATTTAAATATTAATAACTCTGGACTGGATGATCGGAATCCAACAAGAGAGGGCTCGTTTAAAAGAGCGTTTCTTACTCTATATTGTGCCATATAAATACTAATAATAAGCTTTTGAACGTAGACGCTAGGAGGCGTTGTCTTACAACTTAGCAAACATTGCGCGTTTTTTCAAAAAAATTAAATGCAATAGAATATGTAATTTTACCTGATAGTAAAGAGTAGTAAAATCTTAAAAAGTGAGTGAAAACCGCATTTTGATATCTTCTTTCAAACCGAAGATATTAGCAAAATTATAATAAATACCAAAAAATAAGCCCCAATTACCTTATTTTTACAACACGGTATCAGTATCCCTCTTAACTACAAACTTGAAAATAATTTCCAGCAACTTCCCACAGTCTCTTTAGTTATAAATATTTTTTTTCGCAGCCCCTACGGCTAATACTTTCCGAGATACAGCCGAGCAGGGTTCGGAAGTAGTTAATTAAGACGTAATTTACCTGATTAACTACGTGTAGTTTTTCTTCAAAAACTCCGTCTTTTTCCGTTCATTAACTACATGAAAACTACGTTAATAAACTATGTATTGATATTATGAATAATTTCCTTTCTATGAGGTGTAATAGAGATAATATGATGTAAATATTATATTTAAAGCCATATTTCTTCTGTCTTCTTAAATTCATTATGTGTTTTTAAAGCTTCAACACACTTTTAGTTACAACTTTTTATTCTTAATCTAAGGTTACAACAAGTTACATACATAGGTTACATAAACTACACCCTCTACATAAACTACATTAACTACATGTAATGTAGTTTATGTAGTTTTTAAAAGTAACATGTAGTTTTCCGAACCCTGGAACACGTACGTTTATAATTTTTTTCGCCAAAAAAGACGCTGAGTCGTGCGAATCGTGCATTTTCTTTTAAATTTTCTTATATATATTTTAGAAAACATAACTCAACCCAACCTCACCGCATTTTTTTTTTTCACTGTATAAAATCTTGATCTCTTGTATTACCATGGTTACGGCTTTACTCTATATACATATAGTTATGACACAGGGACGTAAATGCAGAAAAAAACCGGTGGTTCTCAAAATTTAAGCGAAACATCATTTTATTTTTTAAGTGAAATAACTCCGTTATTTTAGACTTATTTGAAAAACGGTAAAGAGAAAATATGGGTTTTTATCGAGATCTACCAGCCCTGAAAATATTTGTACTTATTGTTTTTTTACATTAAAATCATTATAGTACTCTGCAAGAATGCTTCATCTTTAAGCCCCGTTCTTAGAACAACGTTGTGTCTGGCGACAGTGGTTGACACAAAGAACGCAAAGAACCAATAGGAGTTGTTTAAATTTAAAATTGACAGCTGTTCTCATTGGTTCTTTATACTTCACACGGGCCTTTATACTTCACACAGAAATATATTATCAAGATTTTATATCAGACCATGACAGTGTGAGAGGTTTAACAGGCTAGCTGATAGACCATTCTGAATTTTAATATATTTTTATTTAATTATGACAACATTAATCTTGTTCACAAAATTATCGTAGTATCTACAGCTCCAGGGTACAGTCTAGGGCATCGAAATTTCTTTTCATTTAAGCTCCGTTTACACACTACTACACGCAGTGATGGATGGTGAGAAAATATCCAATGGCTATAATAACCAAATTTGGTTATATAACCGGTATATACCCAGAAGATGTAGGGTATATACCCATTGATATTATATTTTGTCGGGGAACCCCCTTGTAAAATTAAGTATTTATCCATTGGGTATATACCGAATGCAAAACATCGGCTATTTACTCAAATTCCAATATATTGGGTGTTTGCCCATCTATGACTACTCGCAGTTCTGTAGAGTTAGCCGTGTCTAAACATAACGTTTTACCTGTCAGGTAAGACCATAGGGTAAGACAGATTTATTACGATGGAAGTTCTACCTGTGGTTTTATCAACAGTTAACATTGTGTTTAGGGGCACCATGGGCTTAGGGCTTATGGTGGTTAGGGGCACCATTGTGTTTGGGGCACCATGGGGCAACCCATTGTATCCTTACATCTACTCGTACATGCGGGGCTCTGTAAAAGTGGACTGACTAACCCTTGCGGTGTATCACCAGCTTTGCCAGAACTCTAATGTAAGTGGGAGGAGGGCCGGCCATGGTCAGGTTCTCACAATAGGAATTGACCTCAAATCCAAGAAGGCAATAGAAAAAGAGAGATTTATCCTCTAATATAGATCCGGGACAGCACCGGTATCAGGTCTCAGTAGAGACCAAGTTAAAGAGGTTGCAAAAATGGAGACAGATCCTCTAGCCTCCACCACGCGGGTACCTCAGCCGGAGGACGTAGATGTCCACTTCTCAGAGGATGAACAGTTGGGAGTATGGGAAATACTCTGTCCTCCCCACAAAAGGAAAACCCCCATGTATGATGGGTTATGACTGTATGATGAGTTATAACTGAAGAAAGGGGGACACAATAGATCTTTAAGGTTGCGGTGATTAACCCCCCTTTCACTTGTTTTACATTCTACATCTACGACACTGGCTTAAATTCACAAATGTAGAGCCAACTTTACTCCCAATGTTGGAACAAACGTTCACCCCATAGTGTAGGATTTACCTGTCAATTGCAATATTGTCGAAAACTGTGCCAAATCTTGGTTACAACGTCGGGCGCATCGTGTAGGACCGGCTTTACACCAAACACGCCGTTTCTGCAACTCCCCATCCCCTTTACGCCCTCCCCACCTCCCCAAAAAGAGCATCCACAACAACAAATCCGCCGCCGCCGTCGTAGCCCTGTTGCCTACAGACCCGGTTATCCCGGCGGCCGTCCAGCGCGCCTGCGCCTGCACCCTATCGCTCCCCGAACAGACTTCCCCGTTCAGTCGAGCCGCGAGAGCCCCCACGACGCTGCACCCCCTGCGAGTGGCCATGGTCCGGTCGTCGGTGCAAGCGGCAGGAGGCGGCGAGTCGAACACGTAGGGCGCCCGCCATGGGCCGTTCGCCGTCCCGACGCTATGGAGGCCGTCGTCGCCAGCTCCACGACGCAGGAACCGTCGTCGGAGGAGAACTCGCCCCGGCAGAACGCAGCAGCGGATTCGACCTTCGCCAGGTGAGTGCGGAGCTGATGCCGGGAATTTTCGGTGCAGGTCGATGTCTGCTGCAGGTTTCCAATGTTTGTCTTCCTGTTTCGATTTTTTTAGATCTGAATTAAAGACAATGTATAGTTTATACATTATCATTAATTTAGTTTACCTATACCGAGTGCGTCTCAAAAG